GAAAAATAATGAGGTGATCTGTAAGTTTAGATGAGTAGAACTAACAAGACTTGAGGTGGAATTTTTACAAAAAGAAAAAACTAAAAAAGCCAATCAGGCCAAAAAAAGAAAAGAAAAAGAATATGGGTTAACACCAGATGGAGTTGCAGATGTCTTGCAGATAAAAGCACAGCTTCTCCAGTTCCGCTGCAGCACGTGGATTGAAGAGGAAGAGGAAGAGAACAAACCATGAGACACGGAGCAATGGTTAAAGCCACTTACAAAGAAACTGTATGTGTCTTACCTTCACTAATTAGTGCACATTATCTGTGCTTGTCAGAGGATTTATGAGTACGACTGTTAAGGAAACGGTGAAATACTCAAAGACGAAACACCTGCTCATACAAATGTAGTGACGAGAAAAGTCTTTAAGCATAGACGCTTAAAGGTTGTTAAATGAGTGCGTTGCAGTGCTGAGAAGTCCTCTAAATAATACACCGACAAAAGAAACCCACAACTAACTCCAAGTGTGTGTAAGCCTGCCTGATATGAGGTGTATAAGCAAAGGGACTGAAATGTCCACCTAGAAATATGAGGTCACAGAGGGGAAATAAGCCGACCATTAAATGTTCAAATAAGATGAATCAAACAGTTCAATGCAGAGGTTAAGAGCGCCAGTTAAAAACAAGCCAGCGGGGCTTGGTTGTAAGTGTAAATGTGGCATCTGCTGCAATCCTTATTGGATCTGAGTGTTTGTACTGACACATAATATACTAAAATGAACGCAATTATCCCATAATAGAAAACAAATTCAGTGCCACGAACAGCTGTAAGTATCTTTGAAACGCTACTTAACTTGATAAAAACTGTGTATTTGGCTAAATCAGTTAACTCCATCTACACTGGTCGGGATTTACAGTCTGAAATAAAGACGGCAATTTACGAAGAGTTCATTAAAATCACCTTCACACTGAAATGTCGCTTTATATTTAAGGATATTGCTTTTTCTCTTCCTTTCCTCCACTGCTGTCCCTCTTCTCTTTCTTTTCAGACTTCTCTTTGTCATGTCTGGACTCCTGCAGCACAAAAAGAAACAGAAAAAAAAGTAAATAATGACGAGAAAGTCCTTTAGTTGACGGCTCAGGAGAGCGCGCGACAGCGACCAAGTCTGACCTTCTTGCCGCCAGAGGACGTCCGCTCGGGTTTCACAGAGTCGGCCTTCTCTTTACTAGATGATTTGGATCTTTTGCTCTTCTCTTTCTCGGCCGACAGCGGGGAGTCACAGGAAGGACTTGTGCTCTTGCTGTTTTTGGAGGCATCTAAGAACAAAATGTTGGCTTACATTAATTTTTATTTTATGTTGTCCTTGTTTGGCTGAGAGCTCTTTCAGAGTTTTTTAAAGACAAAAAACAAACGCTTACTGGTCCCATTCTCATCCTTTCTGCGTTTGGCTTCTTGGCTCGTCTCACGGTCGTTGACAGTGTGGTCCTGATAGACAAATGACATGATTTAATAATAACTAATATTTCAACTATGTCCTTGTTGCTACTGCCTCTCCATCTAATATGAAAACTAAATCTGAAAAAAATCCATTTCACATAGTTGATGAGGCGGTTAGACACTGACTCTTTTTCGCTCTTTCCGCTCTTCTTTCTTCTCTTTGGATCGGCCTTGTGTGTTCTCTGAGTCTTTCTTCTCCATCTCCCTCTCTCTGCTCTTGGACCGGGCAACTGAATTGAAGTTCATGTGGTGCTGGAAGAACAATTACATATGAATAGAACAAAACAACTCAAACAGGCAGCAGTGCCTTTATGTTAAGTGTTAGTATAACTTTAAACATAATACAGCACTGCAGGGGGGGAAATATGCCCACAATGGTGGTAAATCAAGTAGAAAAGTATTTACTATTGTGCTTTTCTTAATCACTCTACATTGATGACATACTTCCAAATACTGACTGGTATTCAGTCATGTGACACGTGACTACTAACTGTTCAACAAAGAGTTCACAGTGGCTCAGAGTGGGCTGAGATCTGCATTTAGACTAAGGTGGAGTTGTTTGTCATTATGAGAACAACAACGAAAGAGTGCAAAGGAGAAAAACATCTATCAACTAATTTAAAGTCAAGTTAGTTTGTGATTTGTTTGTTGCAGTATGACTGACACTCAGTCTGATAGTTCTATTACATAACCCGAAAGGTATGTTTGACACAACATGCAAGGGATTCGCTTTCAGTGAGAACTATAAAATATACTTTTCAGAGCAGTTTAAAAAGTCTTACACCGTCTTTCAATACAGGAGTTACAGCACAAATGTTGATTAAGTGCTTATGAATCTAGATACAAAGACATGCGAACACATCTCATAGTCTTAAGTCAAAGGCTGACATTATAAACATAATACAGGCATCACTGGTGGCCTGGGGCCAACAATGACGTGGATGAGGCAAGTTGATTGGCTAGCAGCTGACCAGGTTTCCACTGGTGGATTAACTTGTGAAGCAAACTGGCTGAAATGTACCATCACTATTAAGTAGTTTTTTCTTAGATAGTATTTCCTCATTGACATGTCAACAAAAGTCCTTCATAAAAATGTTTGAATAATTTAAATATGAAGAACCCAAAGGTAGCTGCAGTGCCTTTCTAGCAGTGATGCCTGGAGCATGCTGGGGTGAGCCTACAGGGCAGAGCATATCCCACTACATTTAGTTCAGTTATCATTTTTCCACTAATATAGATTTATAATATGAAACAGAAATCCCATAATAAATTAGTTATAATACATTAGGCTATCAAAGTAATAAAATTACCTTCATTTGAAGTTGGAGGGTAGTCTAATCTACTGGCTCAGAGGCAGAGTAGGAAAAATGTTATCCTGAACCCTTTATAATGAATAACTATTAATTAATAAAACATAATCTGCGTTGATTAAGTTTTAAGATTCACAGATTCTTTATATTTATGAATAAAAATATAAACCTGTTACAGTCAGCTGGGTTTATATCTACTTTGTCTTGATAAAATATTGCTGTCCAACAAGAAA